CACCTCTTTGGGGCGCTGAATAATTTTATTGCGTTACTTGTTGTTTGCCGCTTATTTTATACGTACTTCGTAATCTGTCGTGAATTTACACGTTCGTGTTGTTTAGGTTTCCATTTGTGCTGGACAAGTTTAACTTTGTCATGTGTGGCCCCCTCTGTGCCTAATTCACAATGCTGATGAAGTACTGGGGACGTCTACTCATCAAAAGGCCGCCATTAATGTTTGTCATTTGTGTTTGCTGGAAGAGTAACATTTCCATTTTTTTTTTTTAAACGTTGCCCCACACTAGGATTATCTCCTGTGTCGTGGGTGCGTTTACAAACATACAAGTTGACATACACATAACACCCAGACCCGAAACAACAATTTGTGGATCACACAAATTGTTGTCCCGTGCGGGAATCGAACCCGCGACACGTTGCACGGCAGCCGGTTGCCCAGCCACCGCACCAACCGTGCAGTCGATTGTACCATTCAACGATAACGATTGCACTTTTGGTAATTAGGTTTATGATATTATCTTGCCACACTCGAGTCTATAATGTTTACTATACTTGCAAGTTGCAACTTAAACATTGCGTCGCGTTGCTTGTGATTTATAGGCTGGTGTTAGGCAGCGTCTGGCCCCGGTCCCCGGCCGCCGTCGGCTCTGTCATATCTTTATTGTTCTAATCTTCGCTGTTTATACAAACTATTCCACCATTTAAAGATTATGAACTACGTAGATAAGACTCCCCTTTCATATCGTCGTAATAAATATTAAGTTTTCATGATTTTCAACTTTCACTTGTTTAACTAGAAATCATATTATTATAGCAATGTTGAGAAAATATCTTAAATCAGACGAATCTAAGGTGTTGTTCGTGACTTCAGTGAACATTGCATTATTGAGGTCACTGCGATACCAGTCGAAAGTATAATCACCACTTAGGAAACACAAACGTGACAACCATTCCGATATATCTCAGTACCCGCGAGCTGGGCTCGGCAACTATCCTAATACTTCACAATTGCAATTTTCAGAGTGACACTGATCCAAGTTTGGTCGTGAGGCCACAAATTGGAGCAAGTTCGAGGCCCGAAGTGATTACATTGGAACATCGCGCGTCACCTCGACTCCAATTTGAAGGGTCCAAAGTATTTGTCCCAATCGAAACCCATTTGGAATTCAGATGGAATCGAAACGTCTAATTGCTTTCGGTTCAGCTCTTCGCATACTAATCTGTGACTGTGGTTGCTCTCCCATATAGTACGTGTGCCACCGCGCCGACGATTACATTTACTCGTTCATTTATAGCCGAAGACTCACTTCTAGTCTAGATACCAACTTACACGTCGTCTGTACCACCTTCATTAAATTAAACCTCATTGATACGATACATACTAAGTAACATCATGCCTTTTTTCCCGAAGGGGTAGGCAAAGCAATTGTACAATGGTATTAAGTGCCGTAATATTAATGTTAACCTCTGCTAGTGGATGTTACATTGTACAATGTAACCTCCACTTTTTACTATATATGTTATGGGTATTACTTTGCCCAATCGGGAATCAAACCCGTAACCACTTGCTCCGGCAGTTGCACTTGCGACCATCGTCGTTGCACAATCTACACACATACTTCGTTGTGTGTATCTCTATACGCACTAAATTCAAATTCAAATCACTTTAATGCATATATAGTGTGTACAGGGTGGTTTACAATTTTTGACAAAATATGTTCCAACTATAGGCCCTTTTGGGCACCGCAAATGTACTTACTCTACTTACAAAATAATATTTTTAATTAATTAATTACTAAGATAGCAATATAGCGCATGTTTGCATTAGAACATGTAAAAGATCACAGTTACATACGCGAAACTTATTTTCTAGCTGTGCTTAGATTAGTAACAAAAACTTTTAGGAAATACCTTGAACTTTCCGGTTACGATCTTGTTTCAAATAAATATAAAGGAGAGTTTTAATCAGTGTCGCGGAACAAGCAAGTAATAACAGTAAATATCCGCCGCCGCAGTGCGGGCTGCAATTTTTTCCAAGTTCAATATTTATGATCGCGAAACATCGGCACTCGGTATTGGTGTCGCCAACTCGCAAGTGGGTGACCGCTCGGCACTCGGCTCTCGGCGCTCGGCGACAATTCATAAAGCGGAGGAGCAGGTTCAGTTCACACCCTCGCCCCCTTTTCTTCTGTTCTCCCCTCCGCAACTTTTCCCAATTCCACCACAAACTGTAAATAAAGCAAACGATCCGATAACGTGGCCGCTCCAATTTGGTGCGCGGACGAAGGGATATTTCACTTTCGTTTCGGCGGTACCAAGCTATTTACATTTCGCGCCACTGGTAATATTTACGCCTTCATTCCAGTCAAATTGAAATGGATTAAACAAGGTCACGCCAATTCTGAATGCTACAGGGAAATTTAATGTTGCTACAAACAGTTGTATTTAGCAGTAAGACTTTCCATTACACATTGATTACTTGATCTCCTGACTATTGTAACTGCTACCCACTATGCTAAAAGTAGGTAGCTAAAAGTAATGTTTTTATAGTTCCACTTGTTACACATAAACAAGTTCTCGTAGTATTTAATTTGGCAGATTGACTATAACTAAGTATGGCACTCAACTCTCTATTAGTCAATGTTATTGTGGAAGAGTTATAAACTCAGAGCTACGCCATACGCCAACAAAGTCGAATACGAACATAATTTTAATACTTCTCCGAAGATTTCCCTTGACACTCGTCGACCTTCCTTAACGATTAGACAAACTTAAAGTTAAACAAAAATGTTCTTTGGACAAAGCTCAGCTGCGAGGGAGCCACGATGCTGCTCAATTATTCAAAACAGTACGAGATTAAATTAAAAAAATATAAACTGTCAGCGCTGGAGGGTGTCTTCAACTCGCCATTTGACGAAGCACAAAAGTTTAAATTAAATTTATAGTGGCGGGCGAGCTGTGATAGATGTGCCAGTGAGCCACGGCGCTCCGGTATAGCTCCGGCACGGCTCCGGACACGGCTCCGGACGCACGGTGCGCGGCCGAGGCGCGATGCTACAACGCGCTGCTAAATAACGACAATCTAGTTTTAATTGCAGCTATTTATCTCCGCTCCGATGTTGCAGATTGCGTCGCCGATGGACCAATTTTGTATGCTCCTAACGTATTAATCATAACACTTAGGTACGTTCTTATGTATAAGACAATACGATTCATGTTTTCAAAAAGCTCGAAACAATGCGGTACTTGAGAAAACGATCACGTCGCCTGCACCTCTGCGACCAATGATTAAATATTCACAGAGTCAAGCAGAGCATGCATTTAAAATCACTCAAAAGACATATCAAAAGTAATGTCCTCATTAAACTTCGAAACGCTCTTTTCAATCCTGTAAATATTGTATTATTATTAAAATTTTATGAAATCCAATTATGAAGTCGTAATTTTAAAGTGAACCGTAGGTAATAGCAGTCGTAAATAAAGATAATAAAACGGTTGAAATGACCATTTAGATGTGTACAGCAGTGATAAGACGGGCATTAGAAGCGCAGTGCCATATTAGATCGGAATGCTTGTGATGAGTCGTTATCTCGGATATCTTTTAATTTTATTATGAGTGCTTTATTACAAAGGCTCGTAATGCATGTCATGGCTCAAGTGGCGGAGCGTTTTTTGTGGCAGTCGGCGCTTGCGGCCGGCACTCCATATTTAATGACTCTATTAAAGAGATTAATAGCGTCTATTGCTTAAAAAACATCCGTTGTTTTTTCATTCTTTACAAATTTAATTAATGTCGATATGGATCTTTTAACCGGACTTGGCTTTTGGAACCTAACCATTATTAGCCTCGGTTTGTACTTTTTGTTTCATTTCATCCTGATTTATTTCTTTAATTGCCTTAACAACTGGTTATATTGGTAGATTTGATTGTCGCACGTATATACATACGAACTTTGTTCGTAAAATAACAAGATAATCATCATTTTTGAATGGAACTTAAGTACCTATGAGCGGCACTTCACTCTGGCCCTAAGTTGCGTCGCAAATATTTAGATCGTGAAGTAGAGCGGGGCGACCGAGGGTCTCGCTCATCTCTGATCATTACCAACGCTCAACGTTTTATATCAAAATGACATTAGCAAACAGAACCGCGTTCGCAAATTGAAAGCTCTCTTGCATCAATTTACATTTGTTTAGATTGAATTACGCAGTATTATACTTTGTCTCCGTACTCCGTGCGACTGACGATGGAAATTCGTCGTTAGCTTTAGCTTGAATTCGCATTAAAAGATGAGACAGCGTAAGTTGAAGTTAAACCGGTGTTCCGATTCAGTGTCTGAGTACGGGTGTCGGGGGTGAGCGACTAACTGGATTGCCATCCCCTCCCTCCTTCCGCGCGAGCTAGCGCCCAATTTGGCGGCTTGCTGGGGCCTGCACGTTTTTGCACGCATCCCCTTAATATGGACCTTCCGACAAACTCGCAACTACCGGCTATAAAACATGCCCCGGCACGCTGTGTAACTTGATTGCGATGAAAAAAACTTCGCCAATACTTTTATTCCTCACCAGTTCGATTCTCGAAATCGTTCCCAAAGCAAGGGAAAGGTTAATGATCTACAACTTTCTGCTCAGTTGTCCTTTCAGTATCGTTAATTAAATTTGTATGCAACGTGAGAATTTCTGCGTTTTTTTTATTAATGTTTCGAAGTAGGCACATGGTCTGCTTCGTATGCATTGTACAAATGAAGTCGTTGACGAGAAAAATTAAAACCTTAAATTTTCCTGAAATATCTGCATAAATACCTACCTAGTATAAGAAATAAGAAATTAGATATAATAACAATAAAAAATTAAAGACAAAATAAGAAAAGCTCGCCATTGAAGAATCCTCAAGTTCCGTAGCGTTGGTTTGGTCGGCGCACGCCCGCTTGTCTGCGGAGCCGCGGTGACTTGATCCGCTGAACGAACGCGGAGCGACCACTCAGTGGCGTACTGCCTGCCGAGCTGACGGTACGTCCTTACGCTTTCCGCGCGCGAACACAACGAATTCAAACACGATACACGCGTCTACAAATACGACGACACAACATTCGCTCATTGTAAAGTTTTTTATTTCATTCTTAATTTCTTGGACCTTGTGCAGTTTTTATATTTGTGTTTTCTTTGTCAAAATCGTACCTAAATAGATAGATAGTTATTCGATTTCATTAAGACCAAATAAGTAGAAGATGGTACCGTGAAAAGCTGTGAGGTGGACGTATCTATCGTGAGTACAATGTATCGCTGTGAAGCAGACTCAGTCGAAAGTGGACTATGAGAATATCAAAGACAATGCCGTCGATATTTCATTCAAAGAGTATATGCTGTTCATGAGATATAAAACAGAACAAAATGATTTTAAAAATCGGAGGGAAATCCCCGCCGGGCGCGAAGACTGCCTCAGACAAAGAGGTAAAGAAGGAGGAGAAGAAAGAACCGAAAAAGAAATGGGAGAAGTGTGAGGAGAGATGTCCGGGAGACCCGTGGGCGTACTGTGTGGTGTTATGGTGTGCGTGTGCCATGAGCCTGATCTCGAGCGGCTACAGCCTGTACAAGCAGCAGGCGCTGACGGAGCGGCTGTCGCTGCTGGAGGAGCAGCACCTGGCGCTGCGCAGCGCCGTGTTGGAGCCGCAGCAGCCGCTGGTCGAACGCCTGCGTCGCGAGGTGTTGGCGCGTCCGCCTGCATACTGGCGGCCTCGCAGGAGCATCCGCGACTACGGGGACTGTGTCTGTCCACCAGGTGAGCTACCACCACTCGCGCATACCAGGCTACACCAGCCCACATATGGAACCTTTCAGGATACAGTAACAAAGATGAGGGACGGTGATTTTTACTTAAGGAAGTTGAAGGTTGTACCTGATTAGCAGGTAGTTACTGACTAGGTATTGACGAAATTAAAGTGGATACCTAGCTTCGACAAGATAGTCTTTACTAAATTCCTAACTAAAGGTTTAATTCAACCTAACTCAGCATCCATTCATATACCTACCTACAAGATTTTCCACCATAAGTAGACACCCTACTAGAGTATGACCGACTTTTCTAATTATCTACCTTCACCGAAAGTAGTTGTGTAGAGACGGACTATGATGGTGGATTGTAATGATGCATTGTTATACCTACGTAGGTACCTACAATACCTATCAGAGAAATACAATATATTATATAAACTTATTTAACTACTTCTAAAACAAAGGCTAAGTGAAGGCATTTAGGTTTTTCATTTTTCATACTTTTTTGTGCACATTTTCTTCCCTTTTCATTGGGTTTCATTCTACTAGGATTTAACAATGTTTCTAACTACATAAATATTTACAACTTAAAATTAACTACAACTAAACCATTAAATAAAATGAAAGTAAAAAAAGGGAAACAACATAAATTATACCCTGGTCCAAAATAAATGTAGTTGTATACTCCAGAGCCAGAGCCTATTAAAACTAAATACATCTTTGTTTGATACAAATAGTTTCAATAAATTTTTTAATAAGCTTCCAAAGTTTTTAATTTCTCTATTAATTAGAAAATAAATAAAATAAAATAAGTTCGTTAGTATTATATAAAAAAAATCCTTTGTTAATACCGTTCTAGTATGACACAAGTTACAGAAATTAATTTTTAACTATTTTGGGACGACACACAACAATAGAGCCAATAGTTACTCGTAAAACCTAAAAAACTGATAGGTTGCCGACCCACTGATAGGTAGGAAGCACAGATATACTTTCTGTGGTAGGAAGTCCGTGCCACAAGTTCTGAACAAAATTATTTATTTTGGACCACTACTACCTACAAACAAGAAAGTTATTTTGAGTTATAGGAAATATTTTGAGAAAGATTTTCTTTTCAATAAAGACATATTTGACCAGCCGTGATATTTGGAACAAAGGATTTATGGCAATAGATATAAGAATTTTATGGATAAAAGGTTGCTAATGATCTCCCTAATTCCTGAAAACCTACGCCAAACACCCTGTTAGCCAAAATCGCGTTTAGACGCTAACACTGTTTAGGAGCTTTTAGAAAGAAAGAAGAAAGAAAGAAATTGCTTTATTGTTTCTCACAATTATCTAGTCTCAAAATAATTTATCTCCAGACACTTAAGACTTATAAAGTAGAATTAGTACCTACGGTATTCAAATTATAATTTCAATCCAAAAATTTCACTTTACTTCTACCTACATAAAATGTTATTGATGACTAAATTGAAATAACCAGCTGATACCTGTGCTGTAGTTCCAAACGGCCGGGGTACATTTACTAGGCGGTAACTCCATCCTTAATAATATATTCAACGCGTTATTTCTCTGGCACTTAATTCTAAGTAAACTGTAATTTAGTTGAAAGAGCAATCATTTTTAACGCCGATTGCCAATTACGGTGTTTAGTTTTAAATTGTAGGGTCGAAAGGATCCCTTAACAGTAACTAACACTCGACGCGACCGGCGAGGGGTTGAAGCCAATCTTTTCGGAGAGCTATTAAATTTTTCCCCGCGAGCCGCAATACGAAGTTAATCCCGAGTTGAAAGCTGTCACTAACCCCATAGTTATCAGCGGCGCGGCTCGAGATGGAAAAAATGATAAACGCCGGATGGCGCGAATATGTGTCGGTCGCGTCGCGTCGCTCGGGTGACGGTTCAGTTCGAGGGCTCCCGGCTCCGGCAGCCGCTCCGGTCGCTGGATAATAAAGGAGTTGAGCTTTTATTACGAGTTGTTGTTTGACCCGATATTGCTGTTGAATTTGAATTATGTCGTTAGTATTCTGTTCGCGGTCCGCCAGTTTATTTTGATCATTACGAATCTTTTGTTTTTGTTGTTTTTATATCTTAACATTTATAATAGGAAAAGTTGATATTGCAAACGTTTATCACTGTACAACATTGGCCGTTGGACGGTTGGTCGTACAATAAAGTTTAATTGAGCGTGTCAACAATATTTGAGCTTACGTGTCGTACAGTCCAACCCATAATTTGGGTGAGTTAGCAGCGTAATATGGGAACCAATGGCCCAATCAATAAAACATAGTCGGAGCTCGGGGCGGCCGGTGGCCGCGGCGGACTAGAGCGATAAAAGTGTCGCGTGTCGGTGACAGCGCGCTGTTTATTTGGATTATTGGGTGCCGTCGCTCGAGTGGCCGCCGCCGCCCGCGCTTCCGACGAGCGCACTATTGACGGCCACTGCTCCATGGTCCACTTATTGTGCTGATCCCTTTACTATTTGTATTGAAAATACGTAATTGATTCGTTTAAGCTTATTTCAATGTGTGCACTGGACGGAAAATTGATGACTTGCCGATGTATACTGTCTGCGACACTAAGCCGATAGCTAAAATTACATAAACATATACATAACATCACGCCTTTTTATCCCCGAAGGGGTAGGCAGAGATGCACATTTCGCCACTTAATGCCACTGTACAATGTAACACCCACTTTTCACTATTTATGTCATGAGTCCCATGTAATAGGGGGTGAGCCTATCGCCATAAACCGGGCACATTTTCCAGACTCCGTGCTACTACTGAGATTTTTAAAAACCCAGTAATACTTTGCCTGACCCGGGAATCGAACCCGAGACCCCTTGCCCGGCAGTCGCACTTGCGACCATTCGTCCAACGAGGCAGTCAGCTAAAATTAAATATTGATAATTGCCCTATAGTTACAAGACTGTCAGGTGTAACTACCTAGGCGAGGAAAGATATGAAAATGTTACGCGTACGTCCATTCCTTACATAACCGAGTGCTGCCTATGGACTAATACAATACAACGTCATTACTTGCTGAAAGGCTTGTCGATCAACCAAACTGATTGACTGTGTAAATGTCGTAACCGTCGCGTCGCAATGCATAACGGTGTAAGGTATAATCCCATAGTTAGTTACTTAGTTAGTAACTATTTAATGGCCGTTGCAGCTTTTCTTAATATTTTATTGCAATATCAGTTACTAAAAGCTGTTCAATAATAATTTATTGTGTTCAGGCAGGCCATCACTCAAAATCTGAATACTTAATGTAAATGCGCTTATTGTTAAGCGTGGGAGGCAGGACATCAAACTGATTGGTATCGATGCAGCATTAACGTTTGAGCGGTGTCGTGACACACTTCCAAGTTCCAAGTAAACTTACAGCGCAATGAATGTGTCCAACAAATTACTATTATGTAAATGATCGTCTATCAACAATATCCCATTAAGTTTGAGTTAATACGCGATGAATATTCCCTCGGCAGTCGATAGCTACTTCGTACCTAATTCCTAAATACACTGAAGTCTTAGAAGCCCACGTCAACATCGTTGTATCGGTGCCAGCGATTTATAAAGTGTTTATCTACATAAATATTAGGAGCTGAGTCAATAGTTGTGAAGGCTCGGCTTCTATACACATACCTACCTATATCAGAAATTGTAAAGGACTGACTATAATGCAGATGAATTAGGTACTTCTATGGAGTATTTGTACCTAATGCTGAGAAAATATTCGTAGAGTCGTGCACCTATAACATGATTTAGAAACGTCTGTCTCTACTGTATTTAAACGTAGCCTAGTTCTATAACAATGGCAGAAGTCATTGTCGTTATTTTGCTAACATTAGGTGCGAGAAAAGACTGCAGCTGTAGTTCCCATGTCCCCGGGCGCCCGTTCACTCGCACTACACTACCACTATCTGCACCAGTTAGCGCTAGTAACTGGCGCGAGTGCTCGCAGCCGTAATTACCCAGCTTTTTGTTCCGTGGCTTAGGCAAAACTAATCCGTAGTCTAAGGTCCATTGTTAGCTCCGAGGAGCGAGCACCACTGGAATCAATGAATGGGGCACACGCACATACACACACACATTCCTTTTGCACCGCCTAACTAATGGTTCGGTGGTTCAATAAACACTTTTTGTACGACACAACATACTAAGCTGATTGAAGTACTTTATTTACATTCATTTAATTAAATAACTACCCAGTTGTTATTACCCACTTACCAGCTCTGATTAATTTCAATATGTATTAACTCAGTAAGTTGAATGTTATAAGTTAAACGTATTCTAAAGTAGCATAATATATTTGTCTAATACGTACAGCTAGACACAACAAGACAAATTATTATTTGTTTATCTCAACCGGTTGAAATACTGGTATTTGAGTAAGTGCCATAAATTGCTTAATAACTCGTCTAAACGAGACGGGATTAGACAATGAGATAACATTAATTGGTGATTACGATGTCCCCCAGTAGATGGTTGTATGATGATGATGTACAACATACGGGTGGACACGAAGTGAACGAACAATGAGAAATGACTGCAGACAGCGGCGCATGTAGCGCGCACGGTGCGCTAAGTATAGCGAGCTATTAATGTAAACATATTAACACATTGACTGTCCGCGGAGCCGACACGAATAGTTAGTACAATGGCCGTACATTGTCCGTACTGCGCTGGACGTTGTGGTAGACCTACTCGTTACAAAGGAACTGAACAAATCCTGTCCAGTAAGTGGAACCAGTTGCCAGTCTCCTACGTACTTGTGAGACTTACTGCCGTGAACACAGTCAATTACTGACCAGCCAACAAATTAGCAGTAATCTTATTAGATAATTGAAATTAACGATAATCGCGCGATTACCTCGCTATCGTTCCCTAATCGCGGTGTAACTGGTTGTTACAGCCGTTCCGACCGCTATCGCACTGCCTTTGGATGCGTTTTGCATTCATGCATGCTAACCAGCTGCCACCGTCGAGATGTTCAGAT